AGCCTTTCATTTTCTCTCTCCCATACATCAATGGTACTCAGCAAGAATCAGCAGATTCTAGATAATTGCTATGTCCCCCAAATCCTCTCAATTACTCGAGATATTACATTTGCACATACATTCCTTTTCACTAGTATCACTGGTAAAAGTTTTAACAATTGTACTACTATAGCATGCCAGGGACTACCTACTACCAGTATTTTACCAACTACCAGTGAATGACAGGATCCTCATTTTGTGCTTCCCAAACCCTGTTTTTTGGAGTCTGTTTCCTAGGACTACTCCTGATAACACCTGTCTTAGGTAAGGTTCTGGGAGAAAATGATTATGAGATGGAGATTTGTTTGTAGGTAATTTATAGGGGCATGCTCAAAAGAATAACACTGTGAGGTAGTTAGGGAAGCAGGATTAGCAGAGAAATTGAACTGTGATACAGGTATAACAAAGGTCTCAGTTGATCCCGTGGGGAGCTCTGAAACGAAGATGGCCTTTTACAGTTGCCCAAAATTGAAACGGGAGGCTTTGGCCTTAGTATTTAACTACATAAACCCACAAATGGCTGCTGCCTGCCCCTAGGAGAGGGCATGATCTTAGGAAACACAGTTCCCTTCAGACAAGGTCAATACCCAAAAGTTGGGGAAATGGGTGCCTTTGTCCTGAGATATTGGGGCAGGGGTGAGGAATGGTTCTGGGCAGCACCAACATAGCATCCATTATAACAAATTTATCTCCACTGACTATCTCTTCTCTGTTCTATCAATCTATGGAATTAAAATTTTTTTCAATTATTTCCCTCTTTACCACAGTGTCTCTTCTCTTTTGTATTCCTTGCAATCTAATCTTTGCTTATTTTTTATTTACTTAGTTCTGTCAGTTTTTGTTTCACATCTTTCTGTTGTCTATTTCTGGGTTCTCTTTCTGAATTTATGCTGTATATCAAAGCCCTTAAATGTTTTCTTTCTTTCAGCTCATTTTAAAATACTGAGATGGTTTTCATTTACTTTGTTATCTTCATTTTTCTGGTGTGTTCACATTCTGCAGGTCTGGCCTTCCAAGGTGCTACTCACATCTTTAGAGGTTTATTTTGCTGTCATAATACTTCCTTGGATCTGCTTCCTCTGGATTCTTCCCCTATCCACTACTATTTTTACTTTCTCTTACCCTTACCCAGTGCTCTGTACTATTCAATTTTGTTTCTGAAACTAGCAGTTTTCTTTGTGTATGTGGGTTTGTTCTTCTGGAGGAAAACACTATGCTGGATCATTCTGAAATCAAGGACCTAGTTCACCATAGCACTCTTTGATCTCTTGCTGATTCTGTGTAGTTTTTACCCACTTACCTGTAATTCAGAAACTCTGATGTCTTCTTTGAATGTTTCAGTTGCTCTCAAACCTATTTTTTCAGTTTTATGAAGAAATGATATCTCAGATTAGAGTGGTGGCAGTGAAGATGAAGAGAATTGGACATTAAGAGAGATATTTTGGTGATACAATTAAGGAGGATTGCTTATGGACTAATGTAAAAGTGAAGAGGTTCTCAAAAATGGTTTTGGGATTGAGCAATTGGACGGTTTTATAGAAATGGGGAAAACTGGGAGATGAATGATTGGTAATGACAGAAGCAGGCACTCTGTGTGGTTATATTAAGTTTGAAGGACCTATTATATAGCCAAGTGAATGTATCAAAGAAATGTCTTTGAATTAAGAGGAAAAGGTCTATTTAGATGTCACTTCCTTTGGAAGCCTTTCCTGAATGCCCACTTCTCATTCCATTAATTTTGTTACCCTCCAACCCAGAGCAGCCTTCAGTACTATTGTAGCCTTTATCAAGTTTATATTGCAATTTCCTATTTATTGGTCTATTTACTCTGTTAGATTGTGAGCTGTTTATGGAATAGAATCTGTTCATTTTTTTCTCAGGTTCTTTACTGGCTCAATGGTGATAGCCAGCTCTTATTATTTGTTTAAGGCATGCATATAAAAAGGCAGTCAATTCTATTTTTTTCCTAAGACTGCAATTGTTGAAAATTATTTTCCAAATTCAGCCATAATTTGCCTCAATCTTCTATTTAATTGGGGATATACCTATGAGGCTAGGTGCTATTAATTTGTCTGAATACTGACTGGTAATTTGCTTAGATCACATGTGATGTTATGTCTGGATGGGTATATCTGTCTTTCAAACTAAGCATGTAATAAAAATCTCAACACTGTTTTCACATGCAATATCTTAAACTATGTCTCCTCAAATATATTTTTGTATTATCTTCTACATCCAAATGCAGGATTTAATGTTTATACCATTAAATTTAATCTTACTAGATTCAGCACTCAAATCCAGAAGTAGAGTTAATTTTGGACCCTGTATATATATATATTTAAATATCTTGACTTATACTGTAACCTCCTTGTGCTCAGAGGCAGAAGTTGGGAGCATAGCAAATGTGCCAAAGTCAGATTCTAGGTCCTTGTCTCCAGCTTCACCTAGAAAATACTTCCCAGTTAATAGAAAATTAACTTTATGATAGGGTTAACAAAAAGTGTGTTTTGTCAAAATAGTTTTTGTTTTAAAAATTTGCAAAACCACTTTCTAGAGCAAGTCACTAGTAACTTCTCCAAGAATGTAGTTAACACCACACCCTTATCCCTCCCCCAACTTGCCACCCCACCTAATTTAAATGATTTTAATGTTAAAATATTGCATGATTTACACAGTGTTGATGAGATTGGGTGCTGCTAATTTTAATAAATCATTTATCTATTTAAGTTATTTGGAAAAGATCATGGTAATTTGGTGTCTTAGTAAATATTCTTATATAGTTTTGAATTCCTACCCTCCACCTTTCAACACAAAATGGACTTATGCAAAAGAATTTATCAATTCTAAAAATGCTTACAATTCAATTGATCTTTTACTTTCTGTGAAAACAAGCTGCATTTTTTTGCCATGTTCAGAAAAGAAATTTAGCCATTTTTGTGGCTAATTCCAGTCTATTTGCTACTTTGGTTCTTCTTTTCCTTCTCCTTTCGCTAGTATACCAGATGTGTTAAAAAGAGGGGCAGTAGTATTGTAGTAGTAGCAAATAATCTTATACCAACAGTCTCATGGAATAAAAGTTAATTTGGGATCTAACTCCCTTTCAGACTATTCATTCAACCTGGTATAAACCCAAACAATCATATTATGCTTCAGCTCCTATTTACCATTTCAGTGAAATCTCAAGAAAAAACACTGTTAAAAGTCCCACCTATGTGCAGATACAACACCGTCTAAATTTATTTACTTTTTGAATAAGATTACTTTTTTGGATATGAATACTATAGCCTATTTTTCCTATTTCTAATGACTCCATGTTGGATTCTGATGGTATTCCCACAAGGTCACACAGTCGACTTGATAGTACAACTGAGACCAGAATCCTGGGATTTGAATTCCCAGGATTACTCTTTCTACTATACCATGGTGATGCTCAAATGCTTACAGGAAGTGCTTATCATATAAAAGGGAGCACCAGAGTAAAAAAAAAAAAGTATGAAAGAGTTTCAAGGTAATGCACCCTCACAGCCCTTTCCACTTATAAATTCTTTCTTCTTCAGTTCAAGTATTTAGTTGGTCACATTTTTAAATTTAAAACTGAACTCCAGTCTGAATATCAGCTTCTCATAAGCAAGATGTAGAATAAATGGAGTTGTTACAACTTTACACTGTGATCTCCTGAGAGGTCCTGAGAGGTTTCATTATTTCCACTCTCACTCCCAAAGTAAAATCATCTTTGGCTGGGAAATGATCATTTACATAAAACAATATGTAGAAATTAAAACACTTTAATATAATATAAACATTTCCAGAATATAGACTGATTTTGTATCAGTACTTTTTGAGAGCTTTTTAAAACTATATATCATCTAAACTTATTACAGACAGTTTCATTTTCCACTTTCAGAACTAGAAAATACAAAAATACACTGCAAATTAGATTTAACAAACAAAAAAAAACTGATCTAAATTGCTTCATACATTTTTCTTAGAGAAAATAAAAAAAAACCCACACAATAACAACAATAAAATACCAACACTAACACAAACCCAAACAAGGAATGGATTTTGTAATGCCTGGTAATTCTCTCATTTAAAATAAATTAACCTTTCATGGGCAAATAATTCACCACCACAGCAATTTGATGAATAGAAGTAGAGACAACTTCATTAAGCAAAATTACATTTTATATAAGAAATGTAATTTTTTAAAGAAAATGAGAAAAACTAACTTGAGGAAAAGGCATATTGAATACTTTTACTCCACTTGGCTTTTGTTGGAGGTTAAAGTTAACTGTTCACTTAGGAAGCATTCAAGTAACATAAATTTTATGAAATCAAACTTTTCAACTTATTTCTTCAATTCGACCTTAAGGGAACAAAACTAAAAAGCTCAAAATCCAAGCATAGACTCCTCCCAAAGCATTGTCTTTCTTCAACAGATTTCCTTTTCTGTTCTTGTGTTCTTATGTTCTTCTTTCTCAGAGGCTAGATTTATGCTTGTTTCTTCTTTCAATTCAATTTCAATTTTTACAGCCCCTAAAACTAAGCTTTCCTGAATAGCCAATGATCATATCTACCTATGCTTTTCTTCACTGGCTGTTCTTGTTTTTGTCTAAATCCATTTTCTAAACTGATTTCTTCATTTCATCCTTGGGTAAACAAAATGAAATTCCTAAAACAGACTCATCCCAAAAGATTGACTCTCGGTCTTTTCTTCAACAGAATTCTTTTTCTCTCATGTTCTGGTTGTGTTCTTATGTTCTTCTTATGTTCTTTCTCAGTATATTTAAGCTTGTTTGTTTCTTCTTTCAATTCAATTTCAAATTATAAACACAAAAACTAAGCTTTCTGGACCTGACACTGACTATATCCACTGCTCTTTTTCTTCTGGATATTCCTGTCTTTGTCTAAATCCATAACTGATTTCTTCAATTCATCCTTGGGTAAACAAAACTAAAAATTCAAAATCCAAGAATAGATTCATCCCAAAGCATTTCCTCTTCTGTCTTTTCTTCAACAGGTTTCTTTTTCCCTTTCTTGTGCTTACGTTCTTCTTTCTCAGTGGGCACACCATGGCTTTTTTTCTTTTTTCGATGTTTAAGCTTTCCTGAACTGACGCTGACTTGATCTCCCTTTCTTTTCCTTTGTCGGATGCTCTTGTCCTTGTCTAGATTTGTATCACCATAACTCTTTTTCCTTTTATGTTTCGATTGCTCTTTCTCTGACCTGTCTTCACCTTCTTCCAGGTGCCTTCTTCTCTTCTGATGTCTTCGTTTATGACCTGCTTTATGGTCACTGGTATTGTTTTCTGAGAGGTGCTTGTAAACTTCAGATTCTACACTGTATGAGCCAAAGTTATTTTCTTGCTGACTAAGGCTCAGGGGTACTGGCTTTTCTGGAAAACAGTCTCTGATGGGTTGACAGGAGGATATAGAGTCTAGTTTCTGTATGCTGTCATGAGCTGGTAAGCAATGAGGTAACTGGTTTTCCACTACTTGGGAAATACTGTATGATCCTGTATAAGCATGGGAAGTCTCAAATGGGACTTTTTGCTCAAAAATTCTATGTTTGGGTCTGAAATCAACCTTTTCTTTGTACTTATGGATTTCTATAGAGCTATCACTAACCTTTCTGAAGCAAGTCTTTGGCTCTAGTCCTCTGGCTTTCTGCACTTTGATGTAATCTTCTAGCTCATCTTGGAAAGAATCATAAGTTCTGTTTGAATGAACTGGTAACCAATAATGCAACTTGCTTTCCACTGGTGAAATATTGTATGGTTGTTGGTAAGTCTGGGAAGTCTCAAGTGAAAATCTTTGCTCAAACATTTGTTGTCTGGGTCCAGAGTCAACTTCTCTGTACCCATGGGTCTCTGTAGAGTTCTCTCTTATCTTTCTGAAACAAAACTTTGGATCTAGTCCTCTCGCTTTCTGCACTTTGATGTAATCTTCCAGTTCATCTTGGAAAGAGTCATATGTCTTCTTTGAATGAGCTGGTAAACAATGAGGTAAATGGTTTTCTGCTGTTTGTGAAATACTGTATGATCCTGGGTATGTCCAGAAAGTCTCACATGGGAGTCTCTGTTCAAACATTGTATGTGTGGATCTAGAATCAACTACTTCCCTGTACCAACGGGCTTCCAAAGAACTCTCTTCCATCTTTCTGAAACAAATCTTGGGCTCTGGTCCTCTGGATTTCTGCATTTTGATGTAATCTGCACATTCATCTTGGTAAGAGTCTTGTGTCTTCTTGGGATTCTTCACTAGACTGATAACAATGGATTCTCTGCAAAGAAAACAGTAGAAAGTTCTTATTACTAGGCTATTTTATTCTGAATACTTTCTTTGTTTTAAAAAGATTAGTCTGGAAAAAACAACAACAAAAGTCCAAACAAATATTAAAAGCTTACTTCAATATAAACGCTGTAAATCATCACTTTTTATGCTAAAAAGAAGCAGCAGGAACAGTCATATTTCTCAGGTACCTCACAATTTTTTAAATACAAAAAAATTTTCAGGGCTGAGATGAAAGGGAAGATGGGTACAAACATGCAGACATAGCTGAAACTGCCTTAGTACTAAACATGTAAGACATGTTGGGATATGTGGGAAAGAACAAATAATATTTAATGCCCTGAGGATTGTCTGATTTGAATGTCACATTATTTTAAAAGTTTTAATTAGTTCTTTGTATAGAGCTATAAATGTAATGGATATTTGTTCTGGAACCGTGAGATTTTAAAAAAGAGTCTAAATGAAGGTTAATTTTGTGAATTGCACAATTTAGCTCCTACGTATTCAGACTCAAAGTAGAAATATTTTCAACTAGAATAAAATAATTAAACAGAAACACTATGGTTTGATTTTCACAGCAACAAACCAAAAATACAATACCTAAGTGCCCCTCTGTCCTGCTATCTGACTGATCAAGTCCCTAATTGTCTACTTAATCCTCTCCTCCTTGAAACAATAGAATAGAATGGAATAAATATTTATTGTGCTATTGTGTGCCAGGCCAGGAACCTTACACATATTTTTGTATTTCATTATAACCACATTAAATTGGAAATGTCTAAAGTTATACACTTGTTAGAAAGACAAATCTGATATTCCAGTCCAGGTCTAACAGCAAGACCTTTGTTCATAACCACTATACTTTGCTGAAAGGATGATGACCAGATCACTGTATCCCTGGAACTAAGCCAACCTTCCAGGAATTATTTGAATTTTCATGGCTCAATGAGAATGAGAAGAACAATGCTGTTTGGTCACAAGAGGTGCCAATTATCCAGCTCTGCAAGTATACTATCATGGCTAGAGAACTCCCTATGAGATTCCACTACCATGCACTTTGTGACAAATACCATTAACTGTATCACCTTATAGGGAAGTGAATGCCTACAAAAGTTTTGTAAAATACATGCAAGGGTACTTGACAGAAGCCCTACTCTTTGGTATCATAGGAGCATTTTGGCAGAAAATACTTACTTAATTTGGTGTTCACTTCCTTGCATATGGGACCGGAACATTTCTAAAGATGTAAAGGTAATATTACAAATATGGCAAACGTAGGTCCTCATACTAAATGCTGAAAAAAGAGTCAAATTTAAGGAGGTCAATATGGACAGGAATTTACTAGAGATCATCTACAGAACTTTCCCAACTTAAAGATAAGGCCCAGAGAGGTCAAATGACTTTGTCAAAGTCAAAGAGCAGGTCAGTAATAGAGCTAACCTCTCAGAGCCCATGTTTCTTAATTTAAAGCCCAGAATTCTTCACACTACACTACACTACACCACACTGCTTCTTTAGCCTTGGCCTCTTTCTTGAGACTACGATCTGCCTGCTTATTGTTTCTACATGGAAGTGCAGTAGACACTTCAAATTTAGTATGCCCAATTAACCTTTGCCTCTTAATCCCTTAATCAACCTCTTTTTTCTTGCCCCTAATTCTCTTGCCATCCAACAAAAACCTGAAATGTTCCAAAAGATTAAACAAAAGCAAAGTTTTACTCTCTTATGTGAAATCACTGTAGTGCATTAGTTTACCAAAAGTAATTCCCACAGACAGATATTAGAAAGGAGAGAGGTTCAGTGAGCCCCACTCTCTGGATAAAAGCTGAGAGAAAAATTCTAAAACAACTACTAGTTACTACTTCAAAAGAGTTAAAAACTATAGAATAGGTATGCCAGCTATTTCTCTGTTCTGCTTCTTAGGTAGAGCTGAAAGCAGAGGATAAATTAATCTTTATTTTCTTAACCTCATCATCCTTCCAATTTCTCTTTGGTCAGAAGTAGAAAATTAATAAATTTCATAAGCCAAATATAAAATAATCCCACACTAAAGAAGAGGCAATAAATTGGTGGATGCAGTAATTTTAAGATGAAGCAAGGTCATCTTTTAAGTCAAACAGCAACTTAATCATTCAAATGATGCTAAATTAATCAAGGATATTGGTCTTGTCCAAGCAAATATTATTCATAGAAACAGAAGACTATTGTTAATGAGAAAGAAAGATGCAACTTTGAATAACATGAGGACTCTGCTTACTACTGACATAACTCTAGTGGGCCAAGGAGAGCTCAGCAGGTTATGCCAAAGACTGAATGAATGATTCCTTGTAACTATCCTCTCTCCCAGTGGTCTGATTTCATGCTAATCAAGTCTATTTCTGATTATAATTCGGTTTCTCATATTCTTTGATACCAAAAAAGGAATACCCTGGATGATATATCCAGGTTTTAAAAGCCCTAGGAACTGAAAAAAGATATTATCCTCTCCTACCATAAATCAATACCAGAATGACAATGTATTAACTTAAATTACAATGTTTCCCAGACTCCAGAATTACTTGAAGTATTATTTAAAATATAGATCCTTAAGGAGCACATGCTCAGTTGGTTGAGCATCCGACTTCGGCTCAGGTCATGATCTCATAGTTCATGAGTTCTAGCCCCACGTTGGGGTTCTGTGCTGACAGCTCGGAGCCTGGAGCCTGCTTCAGATTCTGTGTCTCCCTCTCTCTCTGCCCTTCCCCCACTTGTTCTCTGTCATTCTCTCTCTCTCAAAAATAAATAAACATTAAAAAATTAAAATATAGATCCCTAAGCCTCTCCCTGTAAAACATGATCCTCTGTCTCTGGGACAGGGAATTCATGTTTTAACAATACTCCAGGTAATTATTCTTAGAGAATGTGTGGGGAATACACTAAGAGAATACCTTTCTAGTTCCTTGATTATTTATTGGCGTTTTCTAAGTTTGTGGTCTCGTCAGTCCCTGATTTGAGGCTGGTCAACCCTGAAGATTTTGGACTTCCTGCAAAGCTAAGGACTAAATCCAGGAGTCTGCATGTTCACAACAATCCTTTTCAAAAAAATTATCAATACCCTTACTTAACAACTGTGGAAATTAAAGCTCAGATTTGCTTGGCCAACACCATACATTTTGAGAACACCCAAGTTATGCAAGATAAGCAAGAATCCTGGTTTCGTCTGCGTTAATGGTGCTCAATGTTATCTACACATTAGAACCATGTGGAAAACTTTAAAAATATTAATGTTACAGCTCCACATTGGACCATTTAAATCAGAATCTCCAGGAGCAGAACCAGGCTTTCTTACTTTTTGAAAGTGTTTTACAATAGCCAAATTATGGAAAGAGCCTAAATGTCCATCAACTGATGAATGGATAAAGAAATTGTGGTTTATATACACAATGGAGTACTACGTGGCAATGAGAAAGAATGAAATATGGCCCTTTGTAGCAACATGGATGGAAATGGAGAGTGTTAGGCTAAGTGAAATA